CTGGTGAGAGTCTGGTGAGAGTCTGGTGAGAGTCTGTGAGGGTTTGGTGAGAATCTGGTGAAGTCTGGTGAGAGTCTGGTGAGGGTCTGGTGAAGTCTGGTGAGGGTCTGGTGAGAATCTGGTGAGAGTCGGGGTGAGGGTCTGGTGAGAATCTGGTGAGGGTCTGGTTAGAATCTGTGAGGTTCTGGTGGAGTCTGGTGAGAAATGGTGAGGTCTGGTGGAGGAATCTGGTGAGGGTCGGTGTAGGTCTGGTGAGAGGCTGGTGAGGGTCTGGTGAATTCTTGGTGAGGGGTCTGGTGAGTGAGGGTCTGGTGAGATTCTGGTGAGTGTCTGGTGAGAATCTGGTGAGTGTCTGGTGAGAGTACTGTTGAGAGTCTGGTGAGAGTCTGGTGATGGTCTGGTGATAACTGGGTGGAGGGTCGGTGAATGTCTGGTAGTGAGGGTCTGGTGTTGAGGTCGGGTAGAGTCTGGTGGGAATCTGGTGAGGGTCTGGTGAGGGTTCTGTTGAGAATCTGGTGAGGGTCGGTGAGAATCTGTGAAGGTCTGGTGAGAATTGGTTAGGGTCTGGTGAGGGTCTGGGTGAAGTCTGGTGAGGGTCTGGTGATATCTGGTGAGAGTCTGGGGAGGGTTCCTGGTGAGAGTCTGTTGATGGTTGGTGAGAATCTGTGGAGTGTCTTTGGAATCCTGGTGAGTGTCTGGTGAGAGTCTGGTGAGAATCTGGTGATGGTCTGTTGATAACTGGCTAGGGTCTGGTGAGAATCGGGTGAGTGTCTGGTGAGTCGGTGAGAGTCTGGTGAGGGTCTGGTGAGAATCTGGTGAGTGTCTGGTGAGAGTCTGGTGAGAATTGGTGATGTCTGTGAGATCGGGTGAAGTCTGGTGAGGTCTGGTGAGAATCTGGTGAGGGTCTGGTGAGAGTCTGGTGAGGGTCTGGTGAGAATCTGGTGAGGGTCTGGTGAGAGTCTGGTGAGAGTCTGGTGAGGGTCTGGTGAGAACTGGTGAGGGTCTGGTGAGGGTCTGGTGAGTGTCTGGTGAGGGTCTGGTGAGAATCTGGTGAGTGTCTGGTGAAAGTCTGGTGAGAGTCTGGTGAGGGTCTGGTGAGAATCTGGTGAGGGTCTGGTGAGAGTCTGGTGAGAACTGGGGAGAACTGGTGAGAATCTGGTGAGGGTCTGGTGAGAGTCTGGTGAGGGTCTGGTGAGAATCTGGTGAGTGTCTGGTGAGAATCTGGTGAGTGTCTGGTGAGAGTCTGGTGAGGGTCTGGTGAGAACTGGTGAGGGTCTGGTGAGAATCTGGTGAGTGTCTGGTGAGAGTCTGGTGAGAATCTGGTGAGTTGTCTGGTGAGAGTCTGGTGAGAGTCTGGTGAGGGTCTGGTGAGAACTGGTGAGGGTCTGGTGAGAGTCTGGTGAGAATCTGGTGAGGGTCTGGTGAGAGTCTGGTGAGAATCTGGTGAGGGTCTGGTGAGAGCCTGGTGAGGGTCTGGTGAGAGTCTGGTGAGTGACAGTGTAGTGCATGAGGGTCTGGTGAGAACTGGTGAGGGTCTGGTGAGGGTCTGGTGAGAATCTGGTGAGGGTCTGGTGAGAGTCTGGTGAGAGGCTGGTGAGGGTCTGGTGAATGTCTGGTGAGTGAGGGTCTGGTGAGTGAGGGTCTGGTGAGATTCGGGTGAGTGTCTGGTGAGAATCTGGTGAGTGTCTGGTGAGAGTCTGGTGAGAGTCTGGTGAGAGTCTGGTGAGGGTCTGGTGAGAACTGGTGAGGGTCTGGTGAATGTCTGGTGAGTGAGGGTCTGGTGAGTGAGGGTCTGGTGAGAGTCTGGTGAGAATCTGGTGAGGGTCTGGTGAGGGTCTGGTGAGAATCTGGTGAGAGTCTGGTGAGAGTCTGGTGAGTGTCTGGTGAGAGTCTGGTGAGAGTCTGGTGAGAGTCTGGTGAGTGTCTGGTGAGAGTCTGGTGAGAGTCTGGTGAGTGTCTGGTGAGAGTCTGGTGAGAGTCTGGTGAGAGTCTGGTGAGTGTCTGGTGAGAGTCTGGTGAGGGTCTGGTGAGAGATTCTGGTGAGAGATTCTAGTGAGAGATTCTGGTGAGAGATTCTGGTGAGAGTTTCTGGTGAGAGATTCTGGTGAGAGATTCTGGTGAGAGATTCTGGTGAGAGATTCTGGTGAGAGATTCTGGTGAGAGATTCTGGTGAGGGTCTGGTGAGAATCTGGTGAGGGTCTGGTGAGCGTCGTACCGGCTCAAACACGGCTGGTGCCCCTTTCTGCCCCTTCTCTCCTTGCAAGCCGAAGCGGTCCTGTGGACAGCAGAGTCACAGGCTGCCTCACCCGCTCACCAACTCACCCGCTCACCAACGTACACGCTCACCCGCTCACCAACTCACCCGCTCACCAACTCACCCGCTCACCCACTCACACGCTCACCAACTCACACGCTCACCAACTCACCCGCTCACCAACTCACCCGCTCACCAACTCACCAACTCACCCGCTCACCAACTCACCCGCTCACCCGCTCACACGTTCACCAACTCACCAACTCTCACGCTCACCAACTCACACGCTCACCAACTCACCAACTCACCCGCTCACCAACTCACCCGCTCACCAACGCACACGCTCACCAACTCACACGCTCACCAACGTACACGCTCACCAACTCACACGCTCACCAACTCACACGCTCACCAACTTACACGCTCACCAACTCACCAACTCACACACTCACACGCTCACCAACTCACACGCTCACCAACTCACACGCTCACCAACTCACACGCTCACCAACTCACACGCTCACCAACTCACCCGCTCACCAACTCACCAACTCACACGCTCACCAACTCACACGCTCACCAACTCACACGCTCACCAACTCACCCGCTCACCAACTCACACGCTCACCAACTCACACGCTCACCAACTCACATGCTCACCAAGTCACACGCTCACCAACGTACACGCTCACAAACTCACCAACTCACCAACTCACACGCTCACCAACTCACATGCTCACCAACTCACACACTCACCAACTCACCCGCTCACCAACTCACATGCCCACTAACTCACAAACTCACCAACTCACCCGCTCACCAACTCACACGCTCACCAACTTACACGCTCACCAACTCACCCGCTCACCAACTCACCAACTCACACGCTCACCAACTCACACGCTCACCAACTCACACGCTCACCAACTCACACGCGCTCACCAACTCACACGCTCACCAACTCACCCGCTCACCAACTCACACGCTCACCAACTCACACGCTCACCAACTCACATGCTCACCAACTCACACGCTCACCAACGTACACGCTCACAAACTCACCAACTCACCAACTCACACGCTCACCAACTCACACGCTCACCAACTCACACACTCACCAACTCACCCGCTCACCAACTCACATGCCCACTAACTCACAAACTCACCAACTCACCCGCTCACCAACTCACACGCTCACCAACTTACACGCTCACCAACTCACACGCTCACCAACTCACCAACTCACATGCTTACCAACTCACCCGCTCACCAACTCACACACTCACCAACTCACCCGCTCACCAACTCACACGCTCACCAACTCACCCGCTCACCAACTCACACGCTCACCAACTCACCCGCTCACCAACTCACACGCTCACCAACTCACACGCTCACCAACGTACACGCTCACAAACTCACCAACTCACCAACTCACACGCTCACCAACTCACACGCTCACCAACTCACACGCTCACCAACTCACACACTCACCAACTCACCCGCTCACCAACTCACATGCCCACTAACTCACAAACTCACCAACTCACCCGCTCACCAACTCACACGCTCACCAACTCACACACTCACCAACTCACACGCTCACCAACTCACACGCTCACCAACTCACACGCTCACCAACTCACACGCTCACCAACTCACCAACTCACACACTCACACGCTCACCAACTCACACTCTCACCAACTCACACGCTCACCAACTCACACACTCACCAACTCACACACTCACCAACTCACACACTCACCAACTCACACACTCACCAACTCACCCACTCACCAACTCACCCGCTCACCAACTCACACGCTCACCAACTCACACACTCACCAACTCACACACTCACCAACGCACACGCTCACCAACTCACACGCTCACCAACTCACACGCTCACCAACTCACACGCTCACCAACTCACCAACTCACACGCTCACCAACTCACACGCTCACCAACTCACACGCTCACACACTCACCAACACACACGCTCACCAACTCACACGCTCACCAACTCACACACTCACCAACTCACCAACTCACACGCTCACCAACTCACACGCTCACCAACTCACACGCTCACCAACTCACACACTCACCAACTCACCAACTCACACGCTCACCAACTCACACACTCACCAACTCACACGCTCACCAACTCACACACTCACCAACTCACACACTCACCAACTCACACGCTCACCAACTCACATGCTCACAACTCACACACTCACCAACTCACACACTCACACACTCACCAACTCACACGCTCACACACTCACCAACTCACACACTCACCAACTCACACGCTCACAAACTCACACGCTCACCAACTCACACGCTCACAAACTCACACGCTCACCAACTCACACGCTCACCAACTCACACGCTCACCAATTTACCCGCTCACCAACTCACACGCTCACAAACTCACACGCTCACCAACTGACACGCTCACCAACGCACACGCTCACCAGCTCACACGCTCACCAACTCACACGCTCACCAACTTACACGCTCACCAACTCACACACTCACCAACTCACACGCTCACCAACTTACACGCTCACCAACTTACACGCTCACCAACTCACACGCTCACCAACTCACACGCTCACCAACTCACACGCTCACCAACTTACACGCTCACCAACTCACACACTCACCAACTCACACACTCACCAACTCACCAACTCACACGCTCACCAACCCACACGTCCGCCAACTCACCCGCTCACACAGTCACAAACTCACCTGCTCACCAACTCACACGCTCACCAACTCACACGCTCACCAACGCACACGCTCACCAACTCACACGCTCACCAACTCACACGCTCACCAACTCACACGCTCACCAACTCACACACTCACCAACTCATCAACTCACCCGCTCACCAACCCACACGTCCGCCAACTCACCCGCTCACCAACTCACCCGCTCACCAACTCACATGCTCACCAACTCACCCGCTCACCAACTCACACGCTCACCAACTCACCAACTCACACGCTCACCAACGTACACGCTCACAAACTCACACGCTCACAAACTCACAAACTCACCCGCTCACCAACCCACACGCTCACCAACTCACACGCTCACCAACTCACACGCTTACAAACTAACCAACTCACACGCTCACCAACATACACGCTCACAAACTCACACGCTCACCAACTCACCAACTCACACGCTCACAAACTCACACGCTCACGAACTCACCAACCGACACGCTCACCAACTCACACGCTCACCAACTCACACGCTCACAAACTCACAAACTCACCCGCTCACCAACCCACACGCTCACCAACTCACACGCTCACCAACTCACACGCTTACAAACTCACCAACTCACACGCTCACCAACATACACGCTCACAAACTCACAAACTCACACGCTCACCAACGTACACGCTCACAAACTCACCAACTCACAAACTCACAAACTCACACGCTCACCAACGTACACACTCACCAACTCACACGCTCGCCAACTCACCAACTCACACGCTCACCAACTCACACACTCACCAACTCACCTGCTCGCCAACCAACACGCTCACCAACTCACCCGCTCACCGGAACACCCAGCTCCCTCGCCACCATACGCTCAACAAGCTCACTCACTCACTCACCCACTCACTCACTCACCCACTCACACACTCACCCACTCACTCACCACTCGGGTGAGACGGGGGGGGGGGGAGGAGAAGGGGGGTGTTAGTGGGGTGGTGTTTAGGCGTAGGGATCTGAATTCATAGCGAGCGTTAAGGAGTGGGGGGGGGGGGGCAGGCCACACCACGTGAGCAGGGGGGGGGGGGGAGGGTGGGGGGCTAGTGACCCCCCCCTCCCCCCCAGCCCCCCACCACCACCAGCCCAACCGAAGAAGAAACCGAACCTCGGTCTCGGCCGGCAACGCCACGGCTTCCTTGGAACCGCCGTGACCACCGCCGCCGCCAAGGTCAGACTCGGGGTCGTACTCCTTGGGGTCGTACTCCTTGGGGTCAAGCTCGCCGGGGTCATACTCCTTGGGGTCATACTCCTTGAGGTCGTAGTCCTTGGGGTCGAGGTCGCCGGGGTCATACTCCTTGGGGTCATACTCCTTGGGGTCGAGGTCGACGGGGTCAAGCTCCTTGGGGTCGAGGTCGACGGGGTCGTACTCGGACTGGTCGTAATCGGACTCCACCACCTGGTCGCCCCCTGCCGAGGTGGTTGTGGGGGGCGCCCCCCTTTCCTCGTCGTCGTCTAGCCCCCCCAAGCCCGCCTCGTCAAGACCCGAGTCTCCCGCACGCGGCTGCTGGAGTGGTGGCGGTGGTGGCGGTGGCGGTGGTGGTGGTGGTGGTGGTGGCGGTGGTGGTGGTGGCGGTGGTGGTGGTGGTGGTGGCGGTGGTGGTGGTGGTGGTGGGGTTAGCGGAGATGATGATGGGGGGAGGGGGCGGTGGGTGGGGGGGGGATGATGAGGATGATGGTCGTCGTCGCCATCGCCATCATCATCATCGCCATCGCCGCCATCATCATCGTCGTCGCCATCATCATCGCCAGGAGGGAAGCGATACATCAAGGTGTGGGAGGGAGGGGGGGAGAAGCAGGGGGGAGGGAGATGGGGGGAGAGGGGAGGGGGGAGAGGGGGAGGGGGGTGGGGGGGGGTTCTGGTTAATGGCGTTTGAAGCAAAGCGTTACCTGACACACCTGTACACACTCACCTGTACACACACACACCTGTACACACACACACACCTGTACACACACCTGTACACACTCACATGTACACACACCTGTACACACACACCTGTACACACTCACCTGTACACACTCACCTGTACACACACACCGCTGTTAGTTACTGCGTGAAGCCACGGATCGCACACGGAGCGCCGTTAGAGGTTTGGGTAGAGGCTGCTGTTGTGAGTGGGGTCCCGTGGGGGAGGGGTGGGGTCACGGGGGGTCACGAAGGGTCACGTGGGGGGGGTCACGTGGGGTTGGGGGTCACGTGGGGGGGGGGGCTGTACCTGTCCCCGGCCACGGCCCGGCTGCTGGGCCTGTTGGCCTGGCTCCAGGCTCTGCTCGCCCTGCAAGGCCGTTACCATCACCACCAACTCGTTACCATGACCACCAACTCGTTACCATCACCACCAACTCGTTACCATCATCACCAACTCGTTACCATCACCACCAACTCGTTACCATCACCACCACCTCGTTACCATGACCACCAACTCGTTACCATCACCACCAACTCGTTACCATCACCACCAACTCGTTACCATGACCACCAACTCGTTACCATCACCACCAACTCGTTACCATGACCACCAACTCGTTACCATGACCACCAACTCGTTACAATCACCCCCAACTCGTTACCATCACCACCAACTCGTTACCATCACCACCAACTCGTTACCATCACCACCAACTCGTTACCATCACCACCTCGTTACCACCACCTCCTTACCGCCACCACGTTGCCCCCCCCCCCCCCCTCGTTACCACAGCAAGGCTTGGTCGGGACACGGGGACACACGTGGGGACACGTGAGGACACGTGGACATGGGGACACGTGGGGCAATGTGGAGACACGTGGGGACACACGTGGGGACACGTGGGGACACGTGGGGCAATGTGGAGACACGTGGGGACACACGTGGGGACACGTGGGGACACGTGGGGACACACGTGGGGACACGTGGGGCAATGTGGAGACACGTGGGGACACACGTGGGGACACGTGGGGACACACGTGGGGACACACGTGGGGACACACGTGGGTACACACGTGGGGACACACGTGGGGACACACGTGGGGACACACGTGGGGACACACGTGGGGACACACGTGGGGACACACGTGGAGACACGTGGGGCAATGTAGAGACACGTGGGGACACGCTGGGACATGGAGGGCAGCACGAAGACTGACAGAATGTTCACAGGAGAGGAGAGGCGTCATGGGAGAGAGTGGTGAGAGTCAAGGGAGAGAGTGGAGAGAGTCAAGGGAGAGAGTCACGGGAGAGAGTCACGGGAGAGAGTGGTGGGAGTCACGGGAGAGAGTCACGTGAGAGTCACGTGAGAGTCACGTGAGAGTCACGTGAGAGTCACGGGAGACGTGGTGGTGGTGGTGGGGGGTGTCACGTGAGAGTCACAGAGATAGTCACGTGAGAGTCACGGGAGAGTCACGTGAGAGTCACGGGAGACGTGGTGGTGGTGGTGGGGGGTGTCACGTGAGAGTCACAGAGAGAGTCACGGGAGACGTGGTGGTGGTGGTGGGGGGTGTCACGTGAGAGTCACAGAGAGAGTCACGTGAGAGTCACGGGAGAGTCACGTGACAGTCACGGGAGACGTGGTGGTGGTGGTGGGGGGTGTCACGTGAGAGTCACAGAGAGAGTCACGTGAGAGTCACGGGAGAGTCACGTGACAGTCACGGGAGACGTGGTGGTGGTGGTGGGGGGTGTCACGTGAGAGTCACAGAGAGAGTCACGGGAGGCGTGGTGGTGGTGGTGGGGGTGTCACGGGAGACGTGGTGGTGTGGGGTGTCCGCGTGTCCGCGTTACCTCATCGGTGGGGGTCTCTGGCGTTGGGGACGCTCCTCCGTCCGCGTCCTCCTCCCCGCCACCAGGGTAGTAGTCGTCGTAGTTGTACAAGTCGCCACCCTCCGGCTGCTGCTGTGCGAGGGGTCAGAGGTCAGGGGTCAAAGTGCAAGGGGCACGTGGGAGTCAGGTCGGAATGCGGGGGGTCAGGGTACGGGGGTCGGAGTGCGGGGGTCAGGGGACAGGGGTCGGAGTGCGGGGGTTAGGGGACAGGGGTCGGAGTGCGGGGGTCAGGGGACAGGGGTCGGAGTGCGGGGGTCAGGGGACAGGGGTCGGAGTGCGGGGGTCAGGGGACAGGGGTCGGAGTGCGGGGGTCAGGGGACAGGGGTCGGAGTGCAGGGGTCAGAGGACAAGGGTCGGAGTGTGGAGGTCAGGGTACAGGGGTTGTAGTACGGGGGTCAGGGTACAGGGGTCCGAGTGCGGGGGTCAGGGGACAGGGGTCGGAGTGCGGGGGGTCAGGGTATGGGGGTCGGAGTGCGGGGTTCAGGGGACAGGGGTCAGGGGACAGGGGTCGGAGTGCGGGGGTCAGGGGACAGGGGTCGGAGTGCGGGGGTCAGGATACAGGGGTCGGAGTGCGGGGGACAGGGGTCGGAGTGCGGGGGTCAGGTGACAGGGGTCAGAGTGCGGGGGTCAACACTACCACTCTCTTATGTCAGATCGCCCTCTGCTGGAGACACGCGGTATGTGGTTGGGTGGGTAGGGGGGTAAGTGGGTGGGTGAGTGAGTGGGTGAGGAGGTCGATGATTGAGTGGATGGGTGAGTGAGTGGGTGAGTGGGTGGGTGATTGAGTTAGGGAGTGAGTGGGTGAGTGTATGAGTGAGTGAGTGGGTGAGTAGATGAGTGGGTGGGTGAATGAGCGAGTGAGTGAGTGAGTGGGTGAGTGAGTGAGTGAGCGAGCGAGCAAGTAGTTGGGTGAGTGAGTGGGTGAGTGAATGATTGGGTGGGTGACTGAGCAAGCGAGCGAGTGAGCGAGTGAATGAGAGAGTGAGTGAGTGGGTGGGTGATTGAGTTAGGGAGTGAGTGGGTGGGTGTATGAGTGTATGAGTGAGTGTGTGAGTGGGTGAGTAGGTGAGTGGGTGGGTGAATGAGCGAGCGGGTTGGTGGTTGAGTTTGTAAATTAATGAGTGAGTGGATAAGTGAGTGGGTGAATGAATGAGGAAATAGGTGAGTGGGTGGGAAAATGAGTGAGTGGGTGAATGAGTGGTTGAAGGAATGAGTGAGTGGGTTGGTGGGTAAGTGAGTGAGTAGGTGGGTGAATTAATGAGTGGGTGGTTGGGTGAGTGAATGGGTGGGTGAGTGAATGAGTGAATGATTGGGTGGGTGACTGAGTAAGTGAGTGGGTGAGTGAGTGAAAGAGTGAGTGGGTGGGTGAGTGAATGAGTGAATGATTGGGCGGTGTGTCTGAGTGAGTGAGTGAGTGATTGTGGATTGAGTGGGTGAGTGAGTGAGTGCGTGGGTGGGTGAGTGAGTGATTGGGTGAGTGAGTGAGTGGGTGAGTGGGTGAGTGGGTGAGTGAGTGATTGTGGATTGAGTGGGTGAGTGAGTGAGTGAGTGCGTGGGTGGGTGAGTGAGTGAGTGAGTGGGTGAGTGAGTGATTGAGTGATTGGGTGGGTGAGTGAGTGGGTGGGTGAGTGAGTGTTTGGGTGAGTGAGTGGGTGAGTGAATGATTGGGTGGGTGAGTGGGTAGGTGAGTGAGTGTTTGGGTGAGCGAGTGAGTGAGTGGGAGAGTGAGTGAATGAGTGAGTGAGTGGGTGAGTGAATGATTGGGTGGGTGAGTGGGTGGGTGAGTGAGTGTTTGGGTGAGTGTTTGGGTGAGTGAATGATTGGGTGGGTGACTGAGCGAGCGAGTGAGTGGGTGCGTGGGTGAGCGAATGATTGGGTGGGTGAGTGCATGAGTGATTGAGTGAGTGAGTGGGTGAGTGGGTGAGTGAACGATTGGGTGGGTGACTGAGCGAGCGAGTGAGTGGCTGGGTGAGTGAGTGGGTGAGTGAGTGGGTGCGTGAGTGAGTGAGCGAGTGAGTGAGTGATTGAGCGATTGAGTGAGCGAGCGAGTAGGTGGGTGAGCGAGTGAGTAAGTGAGCGAGCGAGTGGGTGAGTGATTGAGCGAGTGAGTGAGCGAGCGAGTGGGTGATCCGCGCCTGCTCAGGCTCCTGCGCTTGCAGCCGCGTGTCCAGTTCGGAGTCGCCAGGCAGCGCAGTGTCGCAGTCGGGGCTGTACGTGCTGCACTGCTGCAGCGCCGCACCAGCGTCCGGCACAAGCAGCAGCTGCTGCACCTCTCCCTGTGCAGAGTGAAACGCGACAAAGTCGACCGAGGTGAGGTCGCGCACGTGAACGCACGCACCTGTACGCACGCACGTGAACACACACACACACGCGCACCTGTACGCACGCACGTGAACGCACACACGCGCACCTGTACGCACGCACCTGTATGCACGTACGTGAACGCACACACACACGCACCTGTACGCACGCACGTGAACGCACACATGCGCAGCTGTACGCACGCACACGGACGCACAAACACGTCTACGCACACACACGTACACACACACGTGTACACACGCACGCGCACGCACGCACAAACACGTCTACACACGCACACGTACACACACACGTCTACACACACACGCACACACACACACGTACACACACACGTACACAAACACACACGCGCACGCACGCACAAACACGTCTACACGCGCCCGTGTACACACACACGTCTACACACACACGTGTACACACACACGTACACACACACACGTGTATACACACACGCAGATGTACACACACACGTCTACACACACACATACACACACACGTGTACACACACGTACACACACACACGTGTACGCACGCACACGTACACACACACACGTCTACACACGTACGTGTACACACACACACGTACACGCACACGTACACACACACGTCTACACACACACGTACACACACACGTCTACACACACACACGTGTACACACACACACGTGTACATACACGTACACACACGTCTACACAAAGATAAAGATCTTTGTGTAGACGTGTGTGTGTGTACGCACATTGTACACACACGTCTACACACACGTCTACACACACACGTCTACACACACACACGTACACGTACACACGTACACACACACACACGTACACACACACGTGTACACACACACACACGTCTACACACACGTGTACACACACACGTGTACACACACACGTACACACACACGTGTACACACACACACACGTCTACACACACGTCTACACACACACGTGTACACACACACGTACACACACACGTACACACACACGTGTACACACACACACACGTCTACACAAACGTCTACACACACACGTGTACACACAAACGTACACACACACGTACACACACACGTGTACACACACACGTCTACACACACGTGTACACACACACACACGTCTACACACACACGTCTACACACACACACGTGTACACACACGTACACACACACATGTACACACACACACACGTCTACACACACACGTACACACACACACGTACACACACACGTGTACACACACACGTCTACACACACACGTGTACACACACACACGTGTACACACACACGTGTACACGTGTACACACACACGTGTACACACACACGTACACACACACACGTGTACACACACACGTGTACCCACGTACACACACACGTGTACACACACACGTGTACACACACACGTGTACACGTGTACACACACACGTGTACGCACACACACGTACACACACACACGTACACACACACGTGTACACACACACGTACACACACACGTGTACACGTACACACACACACACGTGTACACACACACGTGTACACACACACGTGTACACGTGTACACACACACACACGTGTACGCACACACACGTACACACACACACGTGTACACACACACGTGTACACACACACACACGTATACACACACGTGTACACACACACGTGTACGCACGCACCTCGAAGTGCTCGTCGTCCAGGATGCGCGTGCCCACGATGGTGACGCCGCGCGTGTCGATGCGCGCGTCGCCACTCCGCCCCAGCTCGCCGGCCCAGCGCTCGCGGCAGTCGACCAGCAGCGTCACCTTGGTGCCACGCACACTCACCGCCACGCGGTGCCACCTGCAACAACAACACCACAGGTAAGTCACCCACTCACTCACTCACCCACTCACCCACCCACTCACTCACCCACGCACACTCACCGCCACGCGGTGCCACCTGCAACAACAACACCACAGGTAAGTCACCTACTCACTCACCCACCTACCCCGCCACTCACCCACCCACTCACCCACTCACCCACGCACACTCACCGCCACGCGGTGCCACCTGCAACAACAACATCGTTAACTCACCCACTCACTCACCCACTCACCTACTCACTCACCTACCCACTCACCCACTCACCCACTCACTCACCCACTCACCCACTCACCCACGCACACTCACCGCCACGCGGTGCCACCTGCAACAACACCACAGGTAAGTCACCCACTCACTCACCCACCCACTCACCCACCCACTCACTCACTCACCCACTCACCCACTCACTCACCCACTCACTCACTCACCCACTGACCCACTCACCCACGCACACTCACCGCCACGCGGTGCCACCTGCAACAACACCACCACAGGTTAGTCACCCACTCACCCACTCACCCACCCACCCACCCACTCACTCACCCACTCACCCACTCACTCACTCACCCACTCACTCACCCACTCACCCACGCACACTCACCGCCACGCGGTGCCACCTGCAACAACACCACCACCACCACCGTTAACTCACCCACTCACTCACCCACTCACTCACCCACTCACTCACCCACTCACCCACGCACACTCACCGCCACGCGGTGCCACCTGCAACAACACCACCACCACCACCGTTAACTCACCCACTCACTCACCCACTCACTCACCCACTCACTCACCCACTCACCCACGCACACTCACCGCCACGCGGTGCCACCTGCAACAACACCGTTAACTCACCCACTCACCCACTCACCCACCCACTCACCCACTTACCCACCACTCACCCACTCACCCACCCACTCACCTACCCCACCACTCACCCACTCACCTACCCACTCACCCACGCACACTCACCGCCACGCGGTGCCACCTGCAACAACAACACCACAGGTTAGTCACCCACTCACCCACTAAGCTACCCCGCCACTCACTCACCCACTCACCCACGCACACTCACCGCCACGCGGTGCCACCTGCAACAACAACATCCACCACCACCACCACCCGTTAACTCACCCACTCACTCACCCACTCACTCACGGCCACCCGGTGCCACCTGCAACAACACCACCACCGTTAACTCACCCACTCACCTACCCACTCACCTACTCCACCACTCACCCACTCACCCACCCACTCACCTACCCCACCACTCACTCACTCACCCACTCACTCACCCACTCACTCACCGCCACGCGGTGCCACCTGCAACAACAACATCGTTAACTCACCCACTCACTCACCCACTCACCTACTCACTCACCTAACCACTCACCCACTCACCCACTCACTCACGCACTCACTCACCCACACTCACGGCCACGCGGTGCCACCTG